CTGACAGTGTCGTCCGGAATAAGCCTGCAGCAGCAAAAGCAGCAGCGGCAACAGCAGCAGGATAAACAGCAGGGCATTTTCTCACTGCAGCCACCGGCGGTGGCTCTTCTAGTTCAAAAAGCTCCAAGCACGTAAGCAGCAAAACGGCGTTGCTGACAAGCTGCTCCTGAACTGTTGCTGTTGCAGCGACCCGCCTGTCGGCTGGCAAATACCTGAAGTAGCAACAACAACAGCAGCGGCAGCAGCAACAGCATATGGCTGGACAAAGACGGAGCAGCAGCAAGCCCAAGTGCATCCACGCCGCCAGCAGGGACTCCACCAGCAGCCAAGGTCGCCTTCCTCTACCGGTGGCAGCAGCAGCAGCAAAAACAGCAGCAGCAGCAGCAGCGGACGTACTTGATGTACGTATCGCCTGAAAGTCTGTGGAAGGCCTCTGCATTTGCTCTGAAGACATTTTGACTTTTGCTTCGCCACAGAAGCTGCGTCTGTTCTATGAGGATCTCCTGGACCACGTCGACGCGCAGCCTGCGACGCCGCAAACCCAAACCCTAAACCCTAAACCCTAAACCCTAAACCCTAAACCCAAGTTCCCGGCTCAGCGCGAAGGGCGGGCGCTCGACCCGCAGCCGGCCGTCAGAGCTTTCTGAAAGGGTGCGGCAGCAAAAGCTGCGCTGCTGCTGCTGCTGCTGCAGAGAGTCACTGCGCTGAAGATGCTGCTGCTGCTGCTGCTCCTGCCGCGTCCGCGTACCTCGGTTCCAAGCCCTCCCTAACGCACTCCTCCGCCAGCTTGGGAAGGTACAGACAGTTGGGGAAGACGCCGCCGTCCGCGCGCACCCGCAGTGACGCCTGCAGGAAGCGGTCTTCCTTGATCTCGCGCTGCTCCTCTGGACTCTTAGCTGGCCGGGTCCCGGCTGCTCCTGCTGCTGCTGTTGCTGCTGTTGCTGCTGTTGCTGCTGTTGCTGCCGCAGGCGCTTTGGGAGCTTCTTCTGCAGTGGCAGGAGCCCCTGCTGCTGCTGCAGGCTCCCCAGGGGGAGCTGCAGACGCACCAGAACCGGCATCGGGGGGGAACACAGCCCCCGTGGCTTGGGGCGATTCCATGCCCGCCAGGCGCCCTTATCTGGAAGCTGAAGACCTAAAACACTATGTTCGCTTTGGAGATGCCGAAATCTGCTGTTGCTGCTGCTTGGTCTGCTGCACGGCTGCCGCAGCTGCTGCCTGCTCTCGGCAAACCGGGCAGAGAACGAGGCTGCTGGAAAGTCTAGCGTGACCACTGGTCCGATCAAGCGCCAGATTTAAGCGTCCATGAAGTCTTCTAGTTGAGATATAAGGGGAACTACCCCTCTAGGCTATGTATAGCTCAGCTGGTCTGGCTGCTCCGTATTTGACCGCCTGCTGCTGCTGCCAAATAACCGGAAGATGTGGAAGCCATTGGCCTCTTTTTGGAGGACTTTTTGGTCCAAGCAACTCAAAGGATAAGGGAAAGTGGCATGTAGAACCGTAAGAAATACGTAGCGGATGCTGTCGCCCGCAGCTCCCTAGGCCGCTCTACCGCGACCAGCGCATGCGACGGAAGTGCCCAAGCAGTGTTTTTTCTTTGTTTTTCACACATCGTTTTGATTTTGCAGGAGTTTTCGATAATTAGTGTAAGTATTTCGGCGCCAATGTTACAGGTATGTGGGGTTGGGATGCAGGTTCACGGCGGGTGTTGTCGCCGGTAGCCTTACAACACCGTAAGGAGGTCGGTTACGTTGCCGCTCCGAGAAATATGAAACTTTCCCCCAGTAAACCAGTTTAGTTCGTTTCAAGGGCATAAAGACATGCAGTTGGTGGCGAGAGATGAGGCAGTCCGCTGTTCTACGCGCCGGGGGACCTCCCTCTGTTACAGGTCACCACCTACAGGCAACGTAAACGGCAGCACCGCACGAGTTGATGCACTACTCTGTGTTATTTTCTTACAAAGTTAATTGCCAGACGGGCTCTGGCCAGCCTGTGGAGCAGAACCACCTCCTAAGGCCTGCCAGAGTCGTTGTGGGGCAATTGCTTAGGCGCAGCTTTGCGACGCTGCAGGTGCAGCGGCACCCCAGAGAACTACGGAAAATCCTTACTTAAGAAGGCCTAGCTTTTCGGTGCAGTAACTTCAACTTGGAAGGTGCCCCCCTCCCCGAGGCGCCATGCAGCCACCTCAATCTCAACCAGGCCTATTCAACGGAGCAGCACACTATCAAATAATGTTTTAAAATTAAATATGCAAATGACTAAAACAAAAAATTGAGACTTGCGGAGGAAAAAAGAAAGTTGCATTTCCGCAGGTTTCACATTCTGGCTGCACTAGAGGTAGAACGACAATTGAATATAAGGCTTTGAGTACGGCTTTTGAACGAAGACCGAAGTAATTAAGAGTAAACATCGAAAGTCCTGCGCAACTAGAGTGTGAGGTATAGCCATGAGAAAACTGCACAGGCCAGCACTGCTTTACGGAGAGTCCCCTGCTACTCCTGGAGTTGCGTTCCCTCTGGAACACTGTCCAAATTTTTCTCATCTCTAATTTGTTTCATTCAACTTCGGGTTTTCTGTAAGCCTTGAGGTCGCGCTTGTGGAGTCTTGATCTTCGCTCACAGGTGTCACGAACTCATCCCAATGCTAAAGACAAAGCGCTAGCCTAGCACTCTTGTTGCTGGGGCCAGCTACACATGCAACTATCAAATCTAATTATCGTGAAGATAGCAAATTGAGGCGGGAATCATTTGACGGGGCTACTCGCACGGGAAATTCAGATTTCAAGAGTGAAGTCAAGCTTGCAGACGGGCATGGTTCATGGAGTTATGACCAGGCACAAAGGAAGCGGAATAAGAACGGCATTTGGAAGGATATTGATAATAACAATGATAATAATAATGATAGTGGTAATAGTGGTCATAGTAATGATGCATTTCAGTTTTCCTGAACGGAGTCTGTCTGCACTCCAGAATTGCACCTGGGCTACAGCGAACACCAGGAAATGGCCCGTCCTAGCACACAGCAGCAGCAGCGAAAGTAGCAGCAGCAGCAGCAGTAGCTGTAGCTCGGAGGTAAAGTCCTTCAAGCCCACAAGACACAGGGTCACGGCGCTCCCCTGCAGAGGCTGCAGGAAGCGCCCAGGGAGAAGACAACAGCTTCGATAAAAAAGCTCAGCTGGATCTCAAATGGCAGATAATTATATACAGAAGAAGCCCGCTTGGCAACGATAGCTCTAGGGGCCCCCTCCAGGTGGAAAGGGGCCTGCGGGGAAACGCCTGGAATTAGATATTTTCTGCTTTCTTTCAAACTCATGCGAGTCTGCTGACTCCTCTGTAGTAGCCTTTAATGCGCAGCGTAGGCCTTTGCTGCAGCTTTGGCCTAAGAGCCGCGCCCCACATTGCAGTAGCTACGAATATGCAGCTACAGAGGCGGTTACCGACTCTCTTGCTGACTCAATCTGCGAAGAGAGCGCACATCTCACTACATATGCAGCTTCTATAACTCAAAAATCAATGATTTCATTGCATGGGAAACCCCAAAAGGTTATTCAAGCTTAGCGTCCCACAGCTCTACCCGCGAAGTCCTTCCCAGCCCCAAGCAGTAGTACCCATTGCTCGTGATCACTGTGTAAACCCATTTCACTGCAGCAGCCGCTGATGGCCTCAATTTGGCTGTAATTTGCATTAATTTGCATTTCTGACGCGGGTAAAGATCTTCCTTCTTAAACTCCACTCGCGCCGTGTAGCAGGGCGCTGCGGCGGCCGTCAGTCTTTACGTAGCCAGCGGCACTCAAAGATTGCATCGGCATTAACAAGGGAATTCACAGGGCCGTAGCCCTATTTAGTGGGCGGCGTGAGGTTTCTAGGTGCAGCAGCAGCTGCAGCAGCAGTAGATTGGACCTCCGAGCCGGCGCTTCGAGCCATGACAGACGACGAGCAGCAGCAGCAGCAGCAGCTTGCAGCCCTGCAGCTGGGGCTGCAGCAGGTACCTCAGCTCGCAGTTTCTGCTTCCACTTGCTTTTGCGAGCCTCCTGCGCAGCTGTTGCAGCAGCTGAAGCCGCTGCAGCTACTGCAGGGGTTGCCCCTTCTGCTGCTGCTGGCACTGGCCTAGATCGTGGTACAGAGCCCTGCCAGTTTGTGGCCATGCATGCAGACAGTTCTGCTGCTGCTCATTTTGTCCCTGCAGGCGCTGGAGGCCCAGAGCATGCTGGCTTCATTAACTTCGCGGTGCTTCACGAAATGCGTAGACAAGCCCGGTGAGCGTGGCAGCCGAGGTGTATGTACACTTCAGCAGCTCTTTAGCATCACCATAGCCCTGCTGCTGCACACGCTTCATTGCCTTGAGGCCCTCACACACGAATCGTGGGGCCCTCTCGCAGCCGATTTCACATTCCAGATTATTTAATATCACATTATTATCTATTTAGATATATTACAGCTATTTGGACACTATTTTGTTACTTGACGCGTCAAATGCTGCCCTGCTGCTGCTCCTGCAGGCCGGTCGCTGTCCAGCAGCCAGCAGCAGTGCATCTGGCAGTGTGCTCAGAGGTGGAATGAAGTGCAGCACTTTGTGGGGATGCGCAGCAGAGCTCTGTTGCAGCAGCAGGGCGCTGGGGGCCTCATGGGCGCTGCTGGCAGTGGGGGGAACCTTTCAGGCGACAGCCTACTAAATTGAATTCAGCAGCAGCAGCAGCTTCAGCAGCAGTAGCAGCAGCTTGGTAGCTAGCCACTGCAAGAAGGTGCGCGCGTGCTTGCGGTTTCCTTATCTGCTTCATCTGGGATTTAGAAGTCTTTAGCCGGCTCTGTGCTCGTTCGTAGACAACTTGCACGCGGTGTACGTACACTCCGACGTTTTCTTGGAGGAAACTTTGCTGCTGCTCAGAGCCGTCTGCCGGGTCCCTGCTGCCGCTCTTTGGAGCAGCGCAGCTGCACAGCCCCTGCGGTATTCCGGGGGCATTCAGTGGCTCTTGCCGCCTTTGCTGCGCCAAAAGCCTCAGCCTTTCACAAGAGTTCATCCTCGAGCAGCAGCGGATCCTCCCCAGGCAGGGGGGCCCCGCCGCAAGCGTCCACGTTTTCCTGCCCTTCCGTATGGCAGGGATGGCGCTGGGCAGGCGCGGCTTGCGGTAAAAGGCTATGGGTTTGCTGCTCACGTGCAGCAGCACAGGGTGTGGGCTCCGAGGGCCCCTGGGGCCCAGGGGGCCCCAGAGGCTGTTGGGGCCCCTGGGGCCCCTGGCCCGCTGAAGCGGGACTGCTAGAGGACTGCGCTGCTCCTGGACGCGTCCGCAGTTCGCACGTTTCGCTGGCTGTTGCCAAGCTAAACTTGTTGCTGCCGCTGCTGTCTTCTAGTTTTGCTGTTTTGTTGCTGCTGCTGCTGTCTGAAGCGACGCTGCAGCAGTCGTCTGAAGAGTCGCTTTCGTCTATCTGCACTTGTAACCGCGTGACGAGTTCCTCTTTATTAACCGTTGCTGCTGCATCTGCTGCTGCATCTGCTGCTTCGTCTTCTGCTGCTGCAAGTTCTGCTGCGGCCGTCTCTGCTGCAGCAGCAGCAGCAGGACAAATGCATGCGAGAGCTGTTTCGGCTGCAGCGTCCACAAGTAGACAGACTGTCAGCAAGAACGCAGCAGGCCTCGCAGCTATGTCTTTGAGTTGCTGCTGGGCCTCCTCTGGAGTTCCTGAGGCCACTGGGTCCGGCTGTTGCTGCTGCTGCTGCTCCTGCAGCTGGTGCAGCGCCTTCCGGGCCTCCTCGCAGCTGCTGTAGGTGGACACCAGTGCAAAGGCAGCACTAGATCGCAGCCGTAACGGGAACGCAAGGCTGCAGCCCTTGAGGGGCCTGAGGCAGCAGCGCCGCAGCACAGCAAGAGCCTGGGCTATTTGCCTCACTTTCGTTTTGGGGGAACCTCCAGCAAGCCGGGCCCCACACTTACCCAGTGCTGCTCCTTGAAATGCCCCAGAGGGCCCCACGCAGCGGCGACACCACGAGCTCGAGGTCACTAATCTTCAGGCCGTAGGTACACTTAAATTCCCATGCCAGGCTATCTTCTCTGCAGCTGCACCGCCGCCTGGGCGCCCTGCAGCGAGAGCAAAGAGCTGCTGCTGCTGCTGCCTGAACAGCAGCGGCAGTGCGCGGCAGCACCAGCTGCAGTACGTATACCCGGCCTTGCAGCGCCTGCAGGGCTGGTGAAACGCACAGAAGACTAAGAAGCAGTTAATGCAACGCAGGCAAAGTCCAGCAGCACATGAGGCGGGCAGCTGCGGACTGCAGCAGCAGCAGAGAGCGCACAAGCTGTAGACGCACCTTACCTGGGTTGTTACTGCAAGCATCAGCCTGCTGCGGCGCGCAGCAGTTCCGGCTGCGCCCTCCTGCCGAAGAAGAAGTCATAAGGAAAGCTTTCTTGAGGCCGCGTTGTTTGCCTCTCTCAAGTCCAGCGAAGGCAGGGCCAGGGGACTGTAGAGATGCTGCTTGGACGGCCCCAACAGGGATAAGCCGGTCGATACCGCAGTCGCTGCTGTCGCTGCCGCTGCTGCTGCTGCTGTTGTTGCTGCGAGCCCAGCTAGCTATCCAGGGGGACCCTCGCAAGCCTTGCGCACTTGCTTTCTGGGAGAGCTTCGGCTGCTTTTCTGAGTGACCCTCTGAAAGATGGGCAAAAAAGGCCGCTGCGTCTTGGGGCGTCGCGAAGTTTGCGTCCCACACCAAATGCTCCGACAGGCTTTCGCATTTCGATCGATCCACGGCTGCTGCTTCTGCTGGCGCTCCTGCTGCAGCTGGTTCTGCTGCTGCAGCTGGTGCTGCTGCTGCACTTGGGTGCAGCAGCTCAATTTGGGCCTCTCGTGTCACCCTGATGTGCTGCATGGGCGGTGGAAGCGTCCCTGCGGGCCAGCAGACAGCACAACTTGTCTTGAGGGGGCCATAACATTGGGGGTGCTTCTTAAGAAAGTCGTATGCTTCAGTAACGGGAGAGGCTAAGGGCCTAGAGGCGGGGGTGTACACACCCTTGTAAGTGAGTTTGGGGAAAGAAACCCCCTGCTGGAGCTCGAGTTGGTGCTTGCGCGCCACCCCTGCGCACGTGAACTGCGTGAGAATGTCCCGAGCCTCTCGGTCTGTTGCGCAGCGCTGCAGCGTCTCTGCAGCAGAGCAGCAGAGGCGGACTGCGCTGCAGCAGCGTATTGAGACGCGGAGCAAACTGCGCTGCAGCAGCGGGAGGTGAGACAGGCACTGCTGAAGGCGCAGCAGCACTAACTGGTTCTTGAAAGCAGTGCTACGGGAAGAAACGGCCAGGAGCAGAAGCAGCAGCACATATGTTACGAAGACTGATACAAAATTTAATACTTTAGAACACCTCAGATGCAAGACAGCATGCGGCACTTGCCTTCACTGAAGACGACGTCGCAGGAAAGGGAAGCAGCGCCTTGCTTGTCAACTGTCTGTACACCTGAGCCCCTCGAAAACAGATGACCAAACACCCCTTCAGCTGCGCTTCTTGACATGAGCCTAAGCCAGTGCATTTTTGCAAAGAATAACTCAGCGCTGCCTGCGCTACTGTGCTGCTGCCTAGCTACAAACTGATGCTGTGAGCACGCGCACAGGGGCCTATGCTCATGGGGATTCGGATGCCGCCTTGGGAGCCCTGCCCCTCTTCGGCCAACAATTCTTTGTAGTGCCAAGGGTCTACTTGTTCGTGGCTGCAGATGTTCAGAAACAGTTTCGTTCCCCCCTTAATCCGCGTCTTGATTACGAACTGGGGCTTCGGCCGTATCCAGGCCGCTGCCCCCCGTAGCTGCTTGAGGGAGTCTAGTCCAACGCCAGGCAATCCTGCGCTCAGGCTAGCAGTGGTATTCAGCAGTTCATCTTCCCGGCGGGTCCCAAGGGCCCCTAGAGCTCCCCCTCCCCCGCTTCCCAGCATGCCGGTGCCCTCAGGGACCCCGGAAGTTCCTGGAGAAGCCCCTAGGGGCCCCTCCGACTGGAGAACAAGGTCGCGGGCGCTAAGTGCAGACTCCCACATTGTTGCCCTGAGGTTCTTTCGGCCTAAGTACGGCGATTCAGTGACCTACGGCCTCATATAAACTGAGGCTGACTGCTTGTGCGTGTTTCTGGATCTGTCCCAGCTAGCAGTTACATCTAAATATAATTCGGGCTAATGTCACCAATGCCCCGCATGCAGCTGCAGAACGGAGGTGTTACAGCAGCACTATTCTTGCCGCAGCACCACTGAAGGAGGGGGTACTGCAGGGGGAAGGAATAGCCGGACCTACACTCCGCCGCAAATTAAACGAGACTTAAGTGAACGGGCAGGTGCCTAAACGGGCAGTAAAGTAACGCCAAGCCGCACAAGCACTGCTTATTAGCCTCCGACCCGCTCGGACATCGCAATGTCTCGCCTCCGCTGCAGGTGAAAACGCGAGCTTTTTCGCTATCACCTGCTCCACCGCAGAGGAAAAATCTACTTTCTAGGCAAAATTTGAATTCCTAAGAAGGTAATGGCCCCTGTGGCTCCCCAGGGGCCCCCACTGCATGCAGTCCCCAGGGAATCGGGAGGCCCTCAGATCCCGCAGCGCATGCGGGCCATGTGTTGCATCAAGCAGTTCACCTGTGCTTCCCCAATTCCCACAGGCGTTCTGCAGTTAGATTTCAATTTTGTCGCGGTGGGCTTCGCTTTCAGTCACGGGGAGGCTAGCGCCCCCCAGGGCCTCCTGCTGTGCCCACCTGCCGACGCCCACGACTCAGGGCTAGCCACTAGCTGCTGAACGCCCAGAGGCCCCAGCGCCACACCGTAAGACTTGTGGAGAAGCAGCGCAGGCGACGGGGCGGCTGCGGGGCCTGAGCGGCGCTGGCAGCGCCTGCGGCCAGCCGCAATGGGGGTGGGGGCCTCGCGCACTTCCCAGTAAGGCAGCAGAAGCTCAGGGGCTCTCCGAGGCAGCTCCTGCAGACGCTGCGGCGCAGCTGTAGAGCCTTATTGTGCACACAGGCCCCAGCGCCGCGGCCGACGGGGGGGCTCGCGAGTTTAAGGCCAGCTAGACCCCATGAGGACTCCGTGGGCAGCGGCGGCTGGGGCAGCCGCACGCAGCAGAGCCACTGGAAGCCCGTTCGGGGAAAGCGCTGGAGTTTTAGCGGCTGCTACAGCAGTAGCAGCAACAGCAGACACAGCAGCAGCTACTGCAGCAGCTGCTGCTAAGGAGCAGAAAAGGCCGCTTCTGCGCAGCAGCTTGGACTCCCCTCTTTTCTTTCGTATAGGAATTGGAGCTGCCTCACTAAAGGGGAGGTGGCGGCGCTCTGCTATGTTGTCTCCGCTGCAGCAGCAGCAGCTAGAACAGCAGCGACAGCTGATCAGAACCAGCACCTGCTCCTCCCCTCTTGCATGCAGCTACAGCTGCAGCAGCAGCAGCCTCTTGAGCTGGCTCGCACTCTGCCAGCTTGCTGCTAGTAAGCCAATAGCGAATGATGCTTATTGGGCTTCTGAGGGTCTGTGGGAAGCTGCTGCTGGCGGTTCAGCCCGAGAGCAGCGCCCCCCGCTGCTACAACCCCTGCGGCAGCAGCCTGGGATGCTGCAGGCCCTGCGACAGCGCTGCTTTCTGCTGCTGCAGCAGCCGCGAGGGGTGCAGCAGCAAGTGCTGCAGCAGCGCTTCATAAGCACGAAGCGGCGGCGTTATTTCAAGATGCGGAAGTTTCACAAGAAGAAGTACAAGAAGCGGCTGCTGCGGTCTAAAAAAGTCCCTTTTGTAGAGATAAATAAACCAAAGAGGACTTGGAAGACGCTGCATGAAATGAAACTGATTAGAAAAGAGTTCAGGAGAGGAGTGCCCAAGAAAGGCGCCAGAATGCTCAAGCTTAGGCGACAGCGCTGAGGGCCGCGGGGGCGGACGTGGAGTGGGAGGCCTGCAGCTACAAGTGGCTATTGGAGCGTTTCTCTTTCTGTTTCAGTTTCGTTTGTTGCCTCTTTTGGTTGTTTTTGAAAAGATTCTTTCCCTTTGAGGCTACACACTGTGGCCGTAGAGTGGCTGGCTCTCCTCTCAGGTTCCCCTAGCCTGCTGCGCTGGCGCCCTGGCTAGCAGCAGCTAGGCCTTCTGGATTCTCCTGGTGCTTCCCTTAGCAGCAATGGCTTCTGCTGGGCGGCCGAGGCCTCCGAGCCAACGGTCTAGGGGCCCAAAGTGCAGGGCCTTACTGTGCTTGCCACTGTCAAGAGCCTCCTTAGGCTCAGGGCGCATGTCTGTGCGCTGGACATGAGCATTTAGGACAGACTATGCGAGTAACCTGCAATATACATGAGTATGTGCTCAAGTACAGCATCCTGTGTGCACCGCCACTTAGCCCTTTCTGTGCATGGTGCGGAGCGCGTAGACCAGGCCCCTTCCTGTGCGAGAATGGGGTCCTTAATACGCTGGTGACCTCCAGAACCTTTTTTGCGCGGGTTTCACCGGCTTCCCCGAGTTAACTTCAGAAGCGCGTAGCCTCTCAGGCACCGCACGCCGGCCCTCCACCAGCCGTCGCCAAGCGGGACTGGAAACCTTGGGAAGGCCTTTAGATGCTGTAGCCTCAGTAAACATTTCTCTAGCTTCATCTTCTAGATGCTAGGGCAGCATTCCACAGTAGTTTTCAGCGACCTCCCGTATGCTGCGCGGCGTGCAGACTCCTTTGCAGACGAAGTGGTCACAGCCCAGCGACGATTTTAGGGGGGCGAGCAGCGTGCTAACGTAGTATTTATACTAAAACTTTTGCATAGCAGGTACGAACGGAACTGTGAGCTGAAACGGCGGCTGTTTCTACGGGCAGCGACAGGGGGGGCCCCTAGTTCTGAGGTCTCGAGGCAGCGCGTAGGCAGGTAGTCGCTCCACTTGGGGTGACCTGCAGTTCCTTTTCAGAAATATGTGCTGCCTATGCACCTTAGTTACTTTCTAAACAATTTGAGCTGAATTCTTCAATTGAGTGGGACAGAGGCGCAGCAACCCCAATGCGTGCAAGGTTGCCGCCGGTGTGGCTCCCCGCACGCCCTCCCAGGGCGTTCTGAAGTATCACTTAAGCCAGGGTGCCGGCTGTTCTTCTTATTGCCATTCATTCTGATGGTCTAACGTATACAGATAATAGTTCACCTACCCCAGCGCAGTGCCTCGTGATGCGGGCTTTCGTTATGTTTCTTGTTCGCTTCTCCGCCCCTGGCCGCCCTCTGCCACTCGCTCACAATAGCTCAATCGGGGACGCTGTTGTGCGGCGCTGCAGCACCCCGCTGCGCCCGTAAAGATTGACTCTTATGGGTCCCTCCTAAATAGCCCCTGTGGGTCCTTCTGGGCTGCCCCAAGACACTGCGGGGGTTCATCTTCCGCCCTTCGCCTGACGTGTCCCGCTCCCACCAGCGCAAGGCGCGTCTAGCCCCTGGGCCTTTGGCCCCAAAGAAAATAGCGTAGAATTTTTCTTTCTATTCTCGCCACGGCTGTGGCAGTGGAGTAGCAGCCACACTAGGGGCTCTGCGAGTTCTTGTTTCGAAGAGCAGCGAGGCCTTTGGCCTACTGCTCGCTGCCGCTAGGGAAGTTGAAGTGCTTGCATAGGACGCCTCGGCATGCAGCTCCTGGTTGAGGCGGCGGCCTTGGGGCTGCTTTTCTGTGGGCTGCTGTGGGCAGGCCCTGTGGAAGGGAGTGACAGCTCCAGATGGCCAGAACGATACATCTATTTGCAGTCTGGCAGAGCGCCAGCTGGCAGGTACGGGGCCTATGGCCGAAAGACTACTGGCGGAAGCGAACTCCACAGGAAGTCAATCCCCTGCGAAGAGTCCAGCAGCATCTCTGACGGGTCCCAAATAGGGCCTGCCTTGGCGCGCACAGCCAGCGAAGTAGGCCAGCACCGGGCGCTGCTGCTGTCTATAGCGCTGGGATTGATTTTTCTGGTGCGTGGCTACTACATAAGCAAGTCGGGCAGCAAGCCATCGGAGATCCAGAGCCTCCGCAACAAGCTGGAGAGCCGGATGGACCGGCTGGCCACAGAGAAGGCCAAGTTGCTGGAGTCGAAGGCACGCCTAAGCGAAATGCAGCGCCAGATAGCTCACGAGCAAGGCATTGCACAGGGCCAGAAGCTCCACTTGGAACGCCAGAAGCTGCTGCTGCACGCAGAGGAGGAGGAACTCCGCAGCAGGGAAAGCCGCATGGAGGCCGAGCGAGCCAGCCTGCGAGAAGTCGAGAAGGAGGCTAGGCAGACGAAAAAAGTGTTCCTGGGCAATAAATTTCCAGAGGGGAACGAGGGAAACGAGGACTTGCAGGCTGCAGGAAGGACCCACACCCTTGGCCAAGCCGCCGATATGATGAAGAGGGTGGAGGCGGAGTTGGGCGTTTTCGAGACAGCAGTATGCAGCTCCTCTCAGGCCAGCAAAAGGACCCTTCTGGTTCGGGAATTCACGGAACTGGCCAAGATGAGAGCAGCAATAACAGTGCTCAGATCTCTCCCCGAGGAACCCACCAACGCGGAAGAGGCCAGGGACATCCTGAGGGCCCGCCGATTGCTCTTGGCCGCCGCCGTTCGCTGCCAGGTCATCTCATGGTCGACCATTCATCGACTTTTGCAGCTCAAGGTTGAGCTACAGGCGGAGATGATCCTGGAGAACTCGGGCAAGGAAGGGCTCGAGAAGCTCCGTGAAGTCGCGGAGACGGAATGGCAGGTGCAGGAGGGGCAGCAGAAACGGGCGAGGTGCACCCTGACGCAGCTGGAACAGGAAATAAAGAAGTGCAGGGAGAAACAGCGCCAGCTGCACGAGTACGGAGCGAACCACAAGAACCTTCGACGGGACGCCGTCAAGAGGCTCGAGAAGCAACTCTTCGACTGGGAGAGCTACGAAGTCACTGTAAGGGCCACCAAGGCCAGGATTCTGGCTACTGAGGCATCAGCATCCACCACACGCGAAGTGTTCCTTCGGCAGAAACGCGCGCAAATCCAGCGGGCAATTGACAACCAAGCTCAAAGGTGGCGGCGGCTTCCTAACGACTCCATTCGCGTTACAGAGCTTCAGACTCTGCTTTCGGCCGTCAGTGATGAGCTTGAGGAGGCCAGGGAGATCTATGATATGGCCAAAGAAGTCAAGGAGGCCTACGAAGCGAAACACCCAGTCACGGAGGAAACGCCCTCGTCAGCGCAGCAGAAGCAACAAGCCAAGCCACACAAGCCCCTTGTCTTCGAGGAGAGGCGCCGCACATACTTGTACGACAGAGGAAACCTGGGATCTCCTGATTCATCACTGGCGAAATCCTCCCATGCGCTGCCTGTAATTTCCACTGTAAGTGCGTCTTCGTTGTCATCTTCGGGGGGATACAAAGTAGGTACGCGTGCCTCTCCACACGAACCACCGCCTCACGCCTCGTGGTTTTCTTATTCTGATGGACTAGCCTGAAGCTGCGGCAGCTGAAATCCCAGCAAGGGGAAGCAGATGCACTCTAAGAGATACTGATGTCACACTGGGTTACGATCTTTCCGTTATGAGCGCCTGCGGCATATGCAGGCTTCTTACCTCGCGCACCCGAGGGAGTGCTGATGGGGAAACAGCTCAGTCAGGTCCCAGCGTGCTCAAGTAGGTCCTTTTCTCCCTGCGGTTCTTCTGGGTGCCAAGGTATTACTAGCTTGTCAAATCCAGGCAATTATAGGCAAGCACTGTAAGTGGATGTGGCTGTCGTCGAGGCTGTCAATGCCCCTTTAAAATTTCCAGTGCCTCGTCAAGAGATACTGTGCTTACTGTCAATTAAGGTTCTCCGGATTACGAGAATTCCAATGGGTACAGGCAGTTCGAAGGTAAAACACAACAAGCAAAGACTAATCCGGCAGCACTTGAGCCAGGTGTGTCACTTTTGCCTTCACCGATCGCCCCCATTTTAGAGTAACCCCCCTGTAAATGCTTTCGTCAAGTCCAGTGAGTCCATAGTTCCTAGCGCTTCTCACTTCGGCGAGTCAACCGCAAACGGCGGCGACAAGCTCTGTCAATTGTCTCAGGACACCCAAAAATCCCACTTCCAATTCAACAGGACAATATGTTGGTGCTGAGCAATCAGGAACAGCCGCCTTCAGAGTCAGGTAAGTAACCTACTAACCCGCTACACGACAGCACATCTGCCTATCTCTACATTCCAAGCACAAATGCATATGCGTACTCAAGGGCGAGTGCTGAGCGCAGCTGGCAGGTGATATTTCATGTGTTCGGGGGCCTCCAAGACACGCTGGTTTGTCCTCTTGTGTGTATTGGTGATTTGTGTACACCAGGTGACAGCGAAGCAGCTGATGAAATACCGTACATAGACGATGATGACGATTCTGAAGGTGGGGCATACATACTTTTCTCATCTCCGCCAGCATCTTTTTGTTTGTAGGGCCATCCATTTATGACTCAAAGAAAATGTGCCGCACCCGCAATCCTGCTTATGTTCACACTGAAGGGACTGGTTGCATAGGTCTTTAACCGTGATCTTCTGTTTTCTTCTCAGAAACTCCTCCTTTACCACCGCCGCGTATAATTCCACCGCCACCAAAACGCCCGCTACTACCGGACAATGCCATTCTTGAAACGGATCTGGATGCGGATTCTCCCGGCGCAGGTACTTCCGTTATATATCTCATCTTTAGTCGTTCTGACAAACTTCATTCAAAGAGTGTCGGTTGCTGACAGGCTGTGTGCATGCAGGCAGCTGGGCCACCGGAATGTTACGGACGGCGCTCAAATAAATTCTTTAGATAGTGTATTGCTGTTGCGATACTCGTTGTTCGCTGCAGCCATTTGCATGTCACAGCTTTTGCCTTTTTGCTGCAGCTACACCATTCCATTTGGACGCATCTTCAGAAGATGACGACAGTTTTAGCTTGCCATCGTTACCTCCACCCATGCTTCCCCTGCCAAGAGGTACAAACGTCCTAGCTTCCAAGGGCTTCACGCCCACACAGCCAAGCATCTCGTCATCGGGAAAGCCATTTACGGAAGTGTCCTCGAAGCCTGCCTCAGAAGCTGGAGCTCCAATACCACGCGTTGACATTCAAGAGGCAAGCGGACCTCAAACGCATTCAGGTGTGTCTGATGCTCACCCGCTGCACCTCGAAGCGTCTTCCCTTTCTTGAAGCTTTTAATTAGTAAAGAGATGCATATTGGAGGACGCAGTCGCCTTAATTGCATGCGGCAAGTCAAGTTGGTACGAAATACTGAGAAGTTTTTCTTCTGTCGCTCTCACGATAATTGCAAACTGTGTTGTGTCTGCTGGCAACAATGGAGGCGTTGGGAGACTCTCTATTGGCACATCACCAATGACTCGCAATGATGATCCTGAAGGTGAGGCAAGCTAAATTAAGTACTTCCATGTATGCTTCCCAGGCTAAACGAGTGTCTTGCATGGAGGCTGTAAATACCTACCACCAGAGCGGTGCATGAATGCTGTAGCTACCTTCGGCTACCACCACTCACCATGTGTACCTTCAGCATCCGCAGTTTATCCCACTCCCGAAAATGACACTCAGTTTTTAGAATTCTGAGCGTATCTCATGTCTGCGTGCCGTTCGTTTTGTCTTTGAGTTTCGTCCTACTTGCCTCGTAGGGATCTGAATTTTGAATCAGCTGCATACACCTGTGCACAGCTGCCTCATGTGGAGTCACTAAGGAATAGGTAGTCTTCGGGGCATTGGGGCAGACGTTGTGTTCACTGATGCTGCAGGCGCTTCTGTGTACCTTGCCACACCTGGTTTTTCACATGATGAAGGCACTTCGGGAAAAAAAAGCGTATCAGGACCCCGTCATTCGCTCTCACCTGGGCCCCCTGTAGATTCACCTGTGCTTCGAGCGCCTTCGCCAATGCCTCGTGCGCGCTCACCTGTGCCTCGAACACCATCACCTTTACCTCGTTCACGCCCACCCGTCCCTCGAACGCCTTCACCTTTGACCCGTTCGCCTTCACCTGCTCCACCAGCGTCCCGAATGCCTTCACCTTTGCCTCGTTCGCAACCACCTGTGCCTCCAGCATCTCGAACGCCTTCACCTTTCCCTAGTTCGCAATCACCTGTGCCTCCAGCAACGAACCCAGTGCCCGAGGCTGCTGTCACAGCTTTCCCTGGTTCGAAGTCACTCGTGCCTCCAGCGACGAGTCCAGTGCCCGAGGCTGCTTCGCAATCACCTGTGCCTCCAGCGGCGAACCCAGTGCCCGAGCTTACTGTCACAGCGGAGAGTGTTTCGGGGCATTCTGGCGCATCTGAGTCAAAGGGACTGGCTGCACGGAACTCGGGTGGTATAGCTCCACTGCATATCGATGGTGATAGTGGGAGTGATGAGGAATCCGGTATGCCATCTACTGCGCCATACCTCAGCCCATAAGCGTCGAAGTTTAGTTGCTCAGAAGCCACCTACAGGCACATGCACGCAGGCCTTACGTTTGTAGTGTTGTACGTTTATTGGTGATGCAGGCGGAAGTGGGGAGTTTGAAATTATCATATAGGCGCTCCCTGAAGAAAATAGTTAGACAATGAAAAGAGCAGGGGCGATTAGGGACGCAACCTGGCTCTTCTCTTTCATCAAGTGCAGGCCTGCCTGCCTTCTTTCGGTTTGGCCTGCGCACAACTGGAGGCATTTTGCCATTGGAGCAAGCAGGTTATACTTTCTTTGGGAAACAGAGCCTCGCGGCCCGTCTCATGTGGATTTCTATTGTTCCTTCGTGCAGAGCAGCAGCTCCGTGGCCACTGCAGGCATGGGGGCTTACTGGCGGTGCCAGTGTAGGCATTAACCCAGACAAGGAGTTGAAAGACCAGCAGACTACTAAGTGTTAACCAAGGCGGGTGCTGCCTACGATCCCACCTGGAAATTTCTGGGGGCGTGCTGATCTCCTTCGCGAAGCAGCAGGGTGTTGGAAATTGTTTTAGAGCTTCGAGTTGAATCTTTGATCGGAAGCTAAACATCATATAAAGCTCCCCACCTGTCTTGCTCGGAAAAGGGTTTTCTATGATTAGCTTTTATTTGCTATCTCAGCAAAATGCGCCTGCTTCATTTTCAACCATTACCAAGGACGCTTGTGTGGCTATAGGATCCTGCTGGCGCTGATCCACGCCCTGGCGGATCCTAGATATGTGCCAAGCTTCATCTTTTTCATGTCTTCTTTCTTTTTTAATGCATGTATCACTTTGGTTGATCAGGTGAATTAGTAGTGAGAAGGGCACATGTGGCCTTTCCCAATCGATTCCGTTGCTCCAATCACGAGCAATGCAAACTTCCCACCAACCTGTGACGGCTACTGAAAAGGAGTTATGGCTCATGTACTGCTGAATGAATGGGCGGACAGTTGCCGAACATCAGAACAGACGCAACAGCAGAAGCAGTAGGCTCCTGGATTTCCATGGAGCCACAGCCTGGGAATTTGTTAAAGTCTAGTTTCTGGCACTGGTTGGCGTGCTCGTTGCATGGCAACGGCAAACCGTTTGCGTGAGTCTGTGGGTGATAGGAAGGTATCGGTCTTGAGAGGGCGCCATTTGCAGCTACTTCAGGCGATGCAGATCTGCAGTTGGGATCTGTTGAGTAACACGGGGGGATGGACCACGGGCCGGGCATTAGCTATTCTTTGACAGAGTCAGGCGAATGTCTCGACAACTAGCGGAGCTGGAAGACAGTGTCCCAGCAAAGGAGTTAAGTTTTTGCAGCTTTTTGTACTCCAAGTGTCGTCTCAAAGCCTGCGGTCTCTCCGTGGCGTACCAGACATGTCGCGTGCGTACAGGAATTTGGTGTACAAAGTTTGCAGAAACATAGTTTAGTCTTTTGGGCGGATCTTTTTGTGAAGTGAAGCGAACACCAACTTCACCTGCACTATCTGGGGTAGCGGCAGCGTTTACCTGTCGCCCTGGCTTCGGGCTATGTCGGCCTCTACCGCAGCTGTTTTGGAGGTGAGGTGAGGCTGCCAAGAGGGTTGAGTTGGGGCTGGAAAGGCTTCAGACTTGGTTGGGTGTGCCGTCCATGTGTAGGCTTTTTAATTTAGTAATAAAGGCGTTAAGAGAGCGTAAAAGCATAGTTACGAGTTGTTCTCACAATTTCTCAGGGATGGAATGGCCAAACTTTTAACCCAAGCGCTCCTGTTTTGCCGTCAACCGCGTAGCTTTAAAAATGGGTTAAAAACTCCTTTGCACGTGCGTTTCAGCGCTCGCCGCAATTTCTTCGTCAAATCCGACACAGAGGCATCGTGTTTTTCGTATGCAGGAGTGTACAAGCTGGGCTACGAACGCGGGGACGAGATTGATGAGTGAATGGTGGAGTAAGAAATTGAATAGGCGCTTCTGTTAAGCGAAACGGGACTTCTTCGCTGGATGGAGTTAACTTGTCTGCTAGACCGTGTGATAGAAAGAATCCTTCTTCAAATGCTTTCCTTACTAATGAGCATGAAAGAGTCAACTGCGAATTCAGTGTCCCAATCAAATCGGCACCTGCATCGTTAATTAGTTGATGCCCGTTTGCTGGGCACGAAACATGCCGAATATTTCTTCAGTGTCCCAGTCTGCATCATCAAGTAGTTGATGCCTGTTGCTTAAGCACGAAACAATCCGAAAATTTCTTGTGCATATGCTCACATTCGTTCTGATGGTCGAATTAAATCGCACACTTTCTCAATCAGCGGACCGAGTGGGATAATTGCATAACATACAAGAAAAGCTACACGATATGTCAACTGATGAATATTTCAGGGCTTCAGTGGCATCTAGTATTCCTTTTCGTGCATAGTGACACAGCAAAAAATATCAAAAGCAAGTTACTCCTTGAACATCATCGAAAATCAATTGATAAATCTGATTTCAATTTGCTTTAATTCGTCATTATACATAAACCGCTTCTGCTAGAGTCGGACAAAACATCGAACAGCTCTGAAGTTTGTTGTAGGCTTAATCTTATGCGCTTACTTAGTTTCTAAGTAGTTGTATCATGCCTTACAGCCACACAGGGATGCGATACTAGCTAAAGATCGTGCAGTTATGGCATGAACGTTCGAGGAGCCTACTACCTTTTGCCGGTACCAACAGGACAGAAGCCATAGTAGCCCAGGCTCGAGATCAAAGTATCTCTTCTCTGCCAGCCAAGGATGAACCGGCAGGAGCTCTGCATTTTAATATGTATGTTAGCTGCATATATATACCAGATATGCGGATTTGAAGGAGCGGTGAACGCTTAAAATGAACTAGCCTGCTCTAGTTCTCAGTGCACGGTCAGGTACGGCTGCATCGCACAGCAGACCCAGACCCTCCACCATCAGACCCAGACCCTCCACCATCAGATGACGTCGCCCCTGCTTACTTTATTTCAATGGGAAACCGTTTGTTGCAGCAAATTCCAGAGTTATTTTGCCTCAAACCGAACTCAATTTTCTCGAGTGACTCTTATATTCTATGTGGTAGTGGCTAGGTCCCAAATAGAGGTAAGTGCCGCACCAATAACCTTGAAACTGAGATCAAAACACCTAAAATCAGGTTAATCAATGGGAAAACTGCCATGGCGACGTCAGCTTTCTGTACCTGCACCATAGATGTACACCTCATATCATATGTTTTGCTTCCCAATTCGAAGTTTGGGTCCAAATCTGCCTGCCTCGAATACACAAGAAAATTAAATATTCACATGTGAGCTTTCTCTTCAAATTCCTCCTCTCTGTCTAATTGCGGCTTTTGTCAGCACTGCACTCTACCATCGTGTTGTGCACGTTCCCCGTTGCAGATGCCTATGTGCGGCGTGAAGTATGTTGCGCGAAGGATAACTGCTTATATGAAATATATTATAGGCTAAAAGTGATTGCGGGTTCATGTAGAGTGCAATTCTGCAGCAGTGAATATAGCAAAACGTTGCATTTTGACGCCGTAGAAAACCGCGGAGCCCACACTCATCGCCTCCACCAAAAAGAAAAGCCGTTCATCCGGCTCATGATGACCAGAGGATGGAATTATACTAGACAAATATTGAAAAGAATGCTCCCTAGGCGATATTTCATTGTGTTACACTCGATGCTACCGCATGAGTGTAACTTGTAGCAGCACAACCATGGGGCCTCATGCCGCACTTCTGCTTGCCCTACTTTCTCATTTATCTTGAAATGATACCGAAAATTGCATTCAAATGCCATATAATCCTTTCTATTCGCAGAAGGACTCACTTTGCCACTAAATTTGCGTACACGCCTGTTCTTCAGAGGGCTGGCTGAGCAAGGGAAGAGGCTGTTTGTCTTAGGCGGGATCCGCTTCCAGCCCTCGACGCCCTAACAGGGCAAACGCAAGATTTCTGCAGTTGCTCTTGACCTTTACGCTATGGTAATACAATCGGAATTTGTTTTAGTGCGAAGTGGAAGGGACTAAAAAGGCTCCTGCTCTTCTACTCACGTTTATTCCAGATCAGCTAAGGGCTGACCTAGGGTACGGCCCACTGCGGCGATCGCCTACGTCAGCTGAGCAGGAAGCGTTAAAAGGATTTCCTTTAAGCATGTCTGCCGGGATCATACCTGAACAGATGAAAGAGATGCAGAACTACTGCATGGGTGTAATATAGCGGTTGCTTGAGCGATGCATCTTCCCCTCTGCGCGTCCGCCGTAAGAAAAGGCCAGCAGCGCACAAGTGCAGTAAACCAGCTGCCATTTGATATAACTAGAAAAGGCTGCAGCTTATTGGCAGACCAACGGACACGAGAGTACTTTCCAGGGCCCACGGAGGTAGCAGCTGTTGGGAGGCCACTGCACCCTGTTGCTTGCCTGCCCTTTGTTCCGCTTGCGCGGGGTAGAGAAGTCTCCGTAGAGAACCACGTGATCTTGTTGGGGCGAGCACGCAAAGATGCTGAAGAAAACGGGGCTTGCTCTTGCTGGGCTGCTGCTATCCGCCGCAGTTTCTGCCCAGCCTAGCCTGCCTGACGGCCTTGAAGACCGCTTTGAAGGCCCGCCAATATTTCCTAGGAGTGCGGCAGCCACTGCAGAGGAAGCGGCGTCTTTGGACAGTCCTGCAGGTCAGTCCGAGCGCGTCCGCCAACCTACCACACGGGAAGAATCGCCACCTGCCGCTGCCTTGGAGTCGGCAGAGCCTCGCGTGAAAGCTCAGCATAAGGAGCTGACGGAACGTTTCTGGATACCGACTTCAGCAGTAAATCAGAACCGCAAGCTCCGTTCCCCCCCTTCTGGGGCAACCCTTGCGGGTGTTGTCAAGGGAGCTGGAAAAAACCAGCGAGAGCGCTGGCGGCACGACCTGCGCACCAGCACATTGACGCACGCGCTGAGAAACGCGAGCACCCACCTGGGCCGCATGTCTCGTCGCGTGTATCAAAGGGGAGAGGACTACTGGAAGAGCCCCAAGAGGCGCCGGGCCCTGGTTTACTTCTCCATCGTCGGCGTCATCATGGTGCTTGTGGCCTACGCCGAGCATAAATCGAATATGTTGTCAGTGGAGGCTCAACAGTTGGCAGAAAGAGATTCGTTCGTAGAGAAAATAGAAGGGGAGGTGGCGGCGGAGGCTGAGGCAGTGAATGCGGAGGTTGAGGAGCTGACGGCCAAGAAAAACGAAAATGAAGAGGCAGGGAAGGAGCTGGAAGCTGAAGAAGATGCAATGAAAAGGCGCAAAGAAAGTCTGCGTGAGAAAGCCGCGGCTCTCCAGGAGCACCAATTGTTCCTGCGAGTTCGCGAGGCGAAAGCCCAGCTCGCCTCCCCGAATGAGCTCGAGGTGATGGGCACTGCTGCGGGGAGGAAGGCGGTGCTGGAGAAGCTCAGCGCAATCAAGGAGGAGGCCAACCGCCTCTTTTGGAATGAAGAAGCTCTTAGGGTTAGGGAAGACACGGCGATGACGAAGTTGGCGCGGCTAGAAGCAGAGGTCAGGTCCAAGTACCACACAGTTCTGCGCATAATGAGTTTGGAGGAGCGCAGTCCAGCTATGAGGCAGCAGACGCTGCGGCTGAAAGAGGAGCTCCGAAACTCCGTCGCGAGCCTTGAAATTCTTGTTCACCAGACGATGCTCCTGCTCTCGGAGGATATGTGGGCTGCGAGGGCAGAGAATAAGCTCCTAAAGAATCCAGCGGCCAAGGCCGAGCTGCTGCAAAGTCTGGAGGCAGAATGGATGACGCAGTTGGATCACCAGGAGCGGCTGACGATAATGCAAGATGCATCTATTGGGAGCCTAGGACAAACCCGTAGCCAAATTCAGCAGACGAAACGTGCCTTAGAGCAGGTAACAACTTCGGAGGAGCAGAAGCGGCTAGAGGACCGTCTCTATAGCCTGCAGACTGCTGAGCTCTACCACGAAAGCTACCTCCGCGTTATTGACTCTGAGATTAATAATCAGCTTGATAAGCAGACGTGGCTGGCCAAGATGAGGGGACTGGTGGAGGAGGCGGAGAAGAGGGCCAAAGAAAGACTCAAGGCTTGGTCAACCCCAGAAGCGGCTCGCGCGGAGATAACGGGCAACATAGAGGCTCTAGAAGGCCTTCTGTCGTGTCTAGACGACAAACTTGCATTGTGCTTTAATATACACAGGACTTGGAGGGAGAAATGGACCCAGGTAAACCTGGTCTAGTGAACAGTCATGCATGTTCACAAGGTGAGGCGTCCTGTATACACTGAGGCCATGCGACTACACGATTAGAAGGTAGCCACGATCAGTTGCGAACCCTGCAAACTGCTACATTGTCCTACTTGTGGGCAGGGGCAAGAGATGGGTATTTGAAGGCGAGCACAGCGCCCACCGCAAAGCGGATTCTTCACGCAGATGTGACCGTGTGGATGCTGTGATCCCTTTCTTCCATTATTTTCTCTGTCCTTTTATTTAATGCATATGGTGAGATCTGTTCCCCACAAGGGGGTTTTTGGCTGGGCCTGGCTGGGCCTGTCTCAAGCGGTGCTATCGTGTGTTTTTATACACTGGGCCCGAACAAGGCAGCGAAGAAATCGTATCAGCAGGCGCCCTGAGCAAGCATATGTACAGCGGTGTGCGTGTGTATGTACGCCGTGTGCTTGGAGCACGCGGCTTGGTTATTCAGTGAGGAAGCTCAAGGGGGCTTCTGTTGCCTCCTCGTTCACAATAAGCCAATGGTCCCTCGCCTCACTTGACGGCAGAGCTTCGCATGCATTTATTTCCAGTTGGCCTTGCTTGTTATTTTTCTGTATGAATAGCACCAAGGATCAACTCAACTTCTTCAAGAAATAGTAGACTTCAGATACGCAGAAACCATGTTTGCGGGGTGCTTCTGATCTCTCAAAGTCAGCTGCTTTGTTGTGATGCGGTCAACTGCCGCGTGTTGAGGGCAGGCGTGTCCGAATTCCCAACCACTTAAGTAGAAGACGGTAACTCCGTAGAAATAACCTCCATTTACTGCTGCCTTTCTGGCCAGCTTTTGAGCTTTTAAAGCTATAAAACTGTGTGGCTATCCAATCACATCAGCTGCAAGACACCAACTTAGCAACTTAGGTCTCGTGGTTGAGGAAATTGGGAAATTCACTGTGCTATCTATCCTGGAGGCGTCTTTGCTATAAGGTATATACTTCACGGCTTTCCTGCCACAAACCTTCAGAGAAAAGCACTACTTCGCGCTTGAATGTGAACCCCTGAACACTGTACTTCGAGCTTGAGTGTGAACCCCTGGTGAACCCTCGTGCCCTCCTCTTTCCAGTAAGAACCGATACAGACTGAAGAAAAAAGCTATAATGAGGCAGTTTGGAAGAAGACAAAACTCTACCGGCCAGACAAGTAGAGAAAGCACGACCAACTAAAGGTTTGCGTGGACTACCGATTCAGTGCACTGCGCTACTGAGTCAATGCACTGCGCTCTGCCGCTGCACCGCGGGTTTCCAACACTCTCAACCGGCTTTCCATCCTCCATTCACGACAGCTTATGATTTTACCTTGGAGCCTGTATAGTCCCAGTCTTTAACAGGTCTGCACGGGAATTTGATTTAGGCAGCCTAGAAATTTTGCAGCCATCAGAACGAACTGTGCAAGGCTGCAGCATACCATTGACTATCTCCGTGGCTTTCATAGCCAAGCACTGCCTTCATGTAGGCTTCATTGAACCTGGAATAGCTGTCGCAGCTACGGCACGTGACTGCTGTTCCTCCATTTTCACTCTATATTGCTACTCTTGCGAGATCCTCATCTCCTAGCAAGTACCTTGTCGCCCACAGACTAAGCGTTCAACCCCACGTGAAAACTGACAAACCAGGACAGAATGAAACCGTGTCGCAAATTGTACAACTGAAGCACTCACATTTTATTAGCTCGAGGCCCATAGCCTCCTGCGGCTACTGCGTGTTGTACGCTTTCCAGGAGTACAGATAGCTGCAGTATGAGCCGCCAAAAGCATATTCGCCACGCAGAAGAGCTTTTCAGCTTGTTTTTAAGCCTGTGTTCTTCGAATCAAATTCAGTCTCTGGCCATATATAAGCGAAAAATAGATGGGGTAGAACAGCAGCGTAAGAGCCTTCTGTGGCATCTCTCTGATCCTATCATTCATTCATAAAGTGGTTGTTGCACTTTTGTCCCGGATTGGGCAGCAGTTGACAAGAAGAAGGGCAAAGAAGCACCATCAGCGGGATCCCAGCCGGCGGGGCCGTAGTAGCTTTGGCTTCACTGCATGCGAGACTTCCGCAAGCTCTTCAAAATGTATACATTTTGTGTAGTATTTTACGTATAAATTCGGGGCCGAGGAATAGAGTATGTAGAAGATCGGCACAAGGAAGTAGGATGCATGCTGCCTCACTGCTTCGGCGGGCTTCCGATGCAGAGAGAAAAGCAAAAAGGGACATACGTCCTCACCATTTATGTAGATGTCCACATCGTGAAACAAATATCAACGGCGGGAGACAGTATACACAGCGGGGAGAGACTACAGTGGGCCAGCGGGGAGGGCCCCAGGAGGGCCCCCGCAAACTACGAGGCCCTTGACGTAAGAGCTTCTCTTTCCAGTGGCCCACGACCGGGCCTGAAAAAACGTGGGGCGCTCCATGTGCCCATTGTCTTTTGAGGGGGGGGCCCGTTTCGGAAGCAGCGGTATAGTTGACAGCAGGTGGGGGCCCCAGCCGCTCGCTGCGCGAAATAGGGTATTTTCCCCGCGATTTTTAGGGTTGTTGCCCTGAAAAGATGTCAATGCCGGAAAGTACATTCTCACAGGCCTCAGGAAACCAGGAGAGGCTCCCGGCTGGCTCTCGGCCCTATACTTCTGTTATGGGACCTACGGGGGACTCAAGCTCCCCTAGGGTCCCCCTCCCTCAGCCCCAGCCCCCAGGGACTATCGGCGCTGCAGCTGCATCCTCTCCTGTTGCTCATACTCAGGCATACATGGATTCGGGAGAGCGGGTCCTCCTTCCATGGGGTGTACCGGCAGCCAGTGGTGCCGTTGCAGCTGCTGCATGGGACCATAAATCGGCGCTGCAGTCAAAACAGCAGCAGAGGGAAGCTCTTTTTCACGCGGCATCCACATTTAAGGAGGCTGAGGCTCCATTCGGGGCCCCGCTTGTTCAGGCGTCTCTGCCATTGACCACCGACGGCCCAGCAGTTGGCCCTCCACCTGTCCCTGCTGAAGGGGAAGGGGGCCCTCGTCAGTGGCCAACCCCAGTCCCTCAGCCTCATTGGGTAGGAGGAACCACTGGCCCTAACACAACAGCAGCAGCAGCAGCAGCATCTGTACCGTCTACTTTGTCTATTCCTGAGACACAGCCGCAGCAGCAACAGCGGCCGCTGCTACAGCAGCAACAGGCACAACCGCATCATCCGTTTCTCGCCGGAGATGGTCTACACGGGGTTCATCCTGGGGCCCCTGGGCTGTCTGGAGCTCCTGGGGTCCTTGGAACCGCTGAGGGTCTCGGCGTCCCCTCCGCCGCCGTTACTTATGGTGCAACCGAGAGAAAGTGGCAAGCGAGGTGGGCTCAAGGGAGTCAGTGCGGAAGTGACTCTGCCGCTGCTTCCCACATAGGGCCCCCCTTAGCTGATGGCAGTAAGATGGGCGAAGAGGGGCCCCTTAACTCTGTTCCCACAAATCCGGAGTACATGCACGCTGTAATCAGCGAGGGAGCCCACCATAACAACCCCAGCTTTCACCTAGCAGCCGAAAGCTCCCACCTGCAGCTTCCCAGGACAGGGCCTATGGTGTTTATGCCAGCTGCAGAGGACCTGAACTTTGCAGGGGGCCCTTTGGAACAACAGAAAGCAAAGAAGAGGCCAGAGGGTCACGGGGAAATACCAACTCAGCGCTGGATTTCGGGGACCCCAGGGGTCTCAGGAGCCTCAGGGCTGAAGAGCGAACCGGGACCAGCAGCAAAGGTGGGCTGCGCTGTAAAAGGCCAAGCGCGGCTTGCTGCAGCAGCATCGCAGCAGCTGCAGCTGCAAGAGGTGCAGCAGCTTTCCGAGGCAATGGGGACCGCCAGAATGGGGGCTTTCCAGAGGTTGGGGGCGCCTTCATTAATCGGCGACGGGCAGCAACAAGCGGAGTACGGCATGTACAAGAGCTTCGGTCCGAATGGGGGGACCCTCGTGAGCCCGTGGCCTGGACTTCCAGCTGCTCAAAAGCTCGTCAAAGGGTCAGCGGGGGGCCCCCCTCAAGGGGGGTTATGCGTTGCAGGTGCAGCTGCCTCGCTTCCACGAGGTCCCGGTAGTGTTAGCTCTTCTACGCGTGGGTCAGCCTTGCCGTCTTCCTCTCAGCTGGGAGCTCCTCAGGGCCCCCCTGACTGTCTGCTGTCTGCAGTTGCATCGCAGCAGTATGCGCTACTGGCGGTGAGGGCTTTCCTGCTAGCTTGTGATGTACCTGTTGCTCCCCCGTGGAAGCAAATAGCTTTGTGGGGCCCTTGGCTGTCGGGGCAGCAGCGGGGGCCGCCACATGTGGGCTCGCAGTGCCCCCAGCCCCGTGGGGATCCCAAGCAGCCAGAGGGAGATGCAGGCCTCACAGAATGTGAGGAACCTGCACAAGCAGTAGAGGATGAGCCAGTGGGGTGTCCGCCAGAGGAGGACACTCCAGAGGCTTCCGAAGAGGCTCACGTGGGCGTTGCACCGGGGCAAGCAACTGAGCAGGCGCCTGTCAAGCAGGAGCGCAAGAGGAAAAGAGTAGGGGGCTTTCAAGGGAGTGGCGCAGCAGCGAAGAAGGCCTCCAGGAGCCAGCGCTCTGCCGCAATAGACGGCGTCTTGATGACTGCTCAGGGTAAGCGCATGTCTTATTGGGAAAACAGTGGTATACGCTTTAACGCATCATAGAAGAACTGTTTTTCTCTCTTTGTGTGCCCTTTAGCTCATTGCAGTAGATTCATTAGACGCATCCGGGATTTAGGCATGCTGCTTCTGTTGTGTTTGCTGCTTTCAGATCTGTACAAAGGCGACTTACTGCTGTCTTGCGCGTCGCCTCCGTTGCCCCTGACGGCTTTGCAGCAAGCTGACCTCTGTCTAGAGCTGATAACAGCTCTGGGGAGACTGCGGCCTCAATGGCGTCGGCAGGGCAATCGCGTGCCTTACCAGTTGCACGTGGCACGGCTTAGACCTTCTTTGCTCTTTCCAACAACACCACCGAAAGCCACCGTTCTGGAGTCATACAGAACTGCCCTGGGGCCCCTCGTGGCTCACATAGCGGAGTTACCGTATGTGCACTTGGCCCCAGGAGAGGCGGAAGAAGTTGTTGAGGAGGTGGAAATGTTGAAAGGATCCGCAGCAATTGACTCTGTGCTGGATGCCCTTGACGCTATGGGGCCTTGGGGCCATCAAGACGGAAGCCAACTACAGCGAGATTCAGAGGCTATGGAAGCCGAAGCGATGAGGGACACGGGAGACCGCAGGCAACAACTGCTGGTGCAGCAGCAACAGCAGCAGCAATTGGAGCAGCTGCAGGCGCAACAGCAGCAACAACTGCAACAGCAGCAGCAGCAGATAGATGCAGCCCGCATATCTGAAGTTCAGGGCCCCGCTGAGACTGACGTGATCTTAGCTTATAACCCGGACCTGAAGGCCTTGCGTCAGTTGAACTACCTCGTCCCTGGAACTCGGGTGTACATACACGCAGATGCACTAGAAGTAAAGTTGGCGGAAATGGGTCTACCGCCCCTGCCTCCTCCGCCTGCCGGGGGAGGCGAAGGAAGCCTGTCGGCACCCAAAGGGCCGCTGTCGAAGTTCGTGATGGTGGAAGCAGGGGAGCGGTACTTCACGCTTCCATATGGGGAATATTTGCCTTTGAAACTGGTGAGCCCTCCTCATCATGTCTTGCAGTTCTCCATAGGCCAAGTCGTGCAGCTGCTTCAGGAAGGTCGTCTCTGTTTACTTCGGTTTACTGAGCGTGAGGCCCTCAAGCGGCGACTTCCGCTGTTGGGGGCCCCCGCGGGACCCCCCAACGACCCCACTGCGGGAGGAGGCGGTGGGTCTGTTGGGTATAAGACACAGAGAGGGACGAAGCCAGCCTGTTGCCCTGCCCCTCCTGGCATAGAGAAAATATGCCGGTGCAAATGTAACCACAGGCGACAAGAACTGTACGCACAGTTGAAGCAGAGACTGCGGATCGACAAGAAGGGCTGCCTGGCCGCTATCAAAGATTGTTTGGACTTAAACCACGTGGCGTTTGCTCTGCCCTCGGCGCGCACTTACCAGCTAGAGATTCTGTCGTATCTCTTTGGAGTGGACCCGTGGTTTTATGCTAAGAACAGACACGAGGCCCCATCGCAGGCCGAGATTCCTAATATCATACGGCGGTACAAAGAGCTGACCACGACGAAGGAGTACGAGCAGTCATTCAAAAGCTGGCTAGAGGAACAAGCGAGAGAAAAGTGCCTCCAGCAAGAGATCACAGCAGACATAACAGCCATAGGTCTAAACCTGAAGGACGGTGATGGGGGCTGCGTCACTGCTTCAGCGAACCCAGCTCAGCAAGATCCTAGGGTTCAGGCCAGCATAGCACAACTCGTTCCGAACACCCCCATATGTGTGCGTATCAAAGCCCTTCTGGGCCTGCCCTCGGGCAATGAGCAGCACTTGCGAGGTGTAGTTCGCCGGGCCCAAATGCTCCCTAGGGGCCGAGCAATCAGCATATCAGTTAATAACAGGAAAGAGGAATTCGTGCTTTTGCCGGAAGAACTCGAAACTCTCGTTGCTCACGATGACCTACGACTCGTGCGGATGAGGTCGAGGCAGTGGTTTGCATACGAGGCGCAGGCTACTGGGGTCTCCGGCGCATCCGAAGTGCAGTGGCCCAGCTCGACGCAAGACGACAACTGGAAGGCAGATGCCCAACCCTGACAAAATCGGAACCTTATGGACTTCTGGGGATAAACTGACTCCTAGTTGACAGTGCACAGACGAGTAACGTGAGTCAAGAAGTTCGCTGAGGTTCCGTACTTCCTAGGCTGGCTGGCTGCTAGCTAGCAGTGGCGAACCGCTCATAAGCGCTTGTTAATCTGATCGAGATGGTTGCGGGCGCGCACAACCTGTCTATCGCGTATACGATACTAAGTCTAGTCGATGCATCAGCTCTTCGTATTCGCAGTATGCTTCGTATTCGCAGTATGCATATCTTACTGGCTAACTAGGCAGCTGTTTCTCCTGGGGCTGACTCATCAACTTGGGCAGCTGGCCTGCCCGATTCCCCCGGCAACCTGTTCCCTTCTGATTCGATTAGTTCAGCGTACAAAACAAAAAGGCTTCGTGCGGTTGGCCTATTTGTGAAATGGCCACAAATGCAGTGCGTAAGGAGTTAAGTAGATTGAGCCGCTTCGTTGCGTGAGTAGCTAGCCAATGCGGGACGACGGAGCTTCACAGTGAAGCCCCAAGAACAAAAGTAGCCACATGCTGGAGGAGACACTGAGAAGAGGAAGCTGAGACAAGGCCGATAGCTAGCTGCCAATACTGCTGAATAGCCCTGTTAGCCATTCATAGAGATGGATGGTAGAGGCACACCAGAGGCTCCATGTGTGTAAGAGCACTGAGACAGTAAGAAGTATGGCATCAGCAAGGTCTTCTGCAACAGCAACGAATGCGCAGAGAATGATGAACAACAACAACAAAAAAGCCGCGAGACGCTCGGCTCGCGGGGACGTGAGTATCGGGAAGAGCGCCACACGGGGCTCAGCTTTAACACCTGAATCTCTTTTACGCGACCTCATGGCAACCCCTCGCAGTTTTGTGGGGCTCAGAGCTACGAGTCGCATTCCAGATGTCGTCCAGGCAGACCACGAACTCTTTGGAGAAGCACGCCCACTTGCTGTCTCGGCTGCTGTTGCTGCTGCGGCCTTACCTGCTGCTGCTTCTGGTTCTATATCACCAGTGGCATCCGTGCGGCCTTCTAATCGGGCACCTTGTTCACCCTACAAAAAAACAGCAAATAATGGCGCTGCCTTTTGACAGCTCCCAACCCACCCAAGACGGCAACCCGTCAGATACCGGGAATATTCTAGGGGCGCCAATGCTTTCGAGAATGCACTTAGTTGATCAGCTTACAGGTCTTGTCTTTTGCTTCGAATCTTCTGAGGGGCTTTTCGGAGCGCTGGGGGTTGAAGCTACTTTAGGCAAAACCTCTGCCGTGGGTGAACACTGGGGAGCTGAAGCCCTGCGTCGCGCCGTGAGCACCCTCTTCCTCGTCCTAGAAAAAGACGTAGAAGCAGTGTCAGCGGCAGCTTGTGCTGGTGCTGCTGCTGCTTCAGCTGAGGATTCGCCTTCCGCCGATGGTCCTTCCGCTGTTGTCGCCGTTGCTTCTGTTGTTTCCGCTGGTGTGGACGTTGAGGCATCTTCCGTCTTTGGTGACTCTGTTGCTTGTGTTTCTCCTGCAGCCTGTGTTAGATTCGCTAACGCCTCTGCCGCTGCTGCTTTCTCCCTGACACAATCACGTATTTGTACGCACTCGGCCAGCTGGGCCCCTTTTGACTGCAGTTCCTCCAGGGTAGAACAAATGGGACCGCGGATCCCAGCGGGCTTGATGGCTTTTGGTCGCGACCGCCACCTAAGGCCTCCTGCACCACCAGGCGAGGCAGGTGCAGCAACTAAACAAGTTCCGTCAGCAGCGGCAGCTGCAGCGGTCTCAGCTACTGCAGATGCAGAGGCAATTGCAGGCGTCTCGTCTACTGCAGCAGCCACAACCACGGCAGCAATAGCTGCTACTCCATCGGAAGCAGGAGGAGGGGCCGTCGAAGGGGGGCCTCTGTCCTCCTGCAGCGAGCCCCTTACAGCTCGAGGCGTCCTGACGTCGGCACTGCCCGCAAGCGTTGGACTTTCTTTGTCACTAGGAATGCATGCGGATGGTGAGGTGCCGTCTGTGTCTCTTCCCTCTGGGGGCCCGTCGGAGGACTTGACCTCAGGGCTGTGTCTGTCGCCCCGGCTGCTGCTACTACTGCCTCTGACGCCCCTCCTACTAGACTTTTCCACTGGTTCAGGCTGTTCGCAGATGCTCTCGCTGCCTGTGCCGCTATCGCAAGTTTTCGGCTTTATCCCAGATACTGATTCGCAAATTAGTCGGCTTTCCACAGCCTCGCAATTTCCCCTAGGAGCCGTTGCTTCCGAAGTACTTGCTGCTTCTGACGATGTTGCTTCCGAAGGATCACTGGCAGGGCTAGCAGGGCGTTCCAGCTGCTGTTTTTGTGGCTCATTCTCTTCACCAGACCCTCCCCCAGCATGTCCTGCAACAACCGAAGCAGCTGGTGCTGCTAGACCTGCTTGTGTGTTTGGGAGAGGACGAAAGTCAGTTTCGCTATGATCTGCCAGCACGTCCGCCTCTGCATGATCCACCTGCTTCGGTGACGACACATTGGCAGCAGCAGCTGACTCTGGTCGCTGCCAGTTGCCACCAGGACCCCTTTGGGGTCTCCCAACCGCGGGAGCTCTCTTGCGGCTGCGCTGAAAGACAGCAGCTTCTGCAACTGGGCCTTCAACGTGCTTTTGCTGCTGTTTTCCCTGTAGCTCTTGTTTGCGTCTGTCTAGACGCGCCCCAGAAACGACGGTGGAGGGTGCACGCTCAGAAGAATCAGGGGGGTCTACAAGCCCAAGGCTCGTGGCACTAGCCGCTGTAGAGTCGTATGGCAACTCTACTACTACTGCTGCTGATGCCTTCTTTGTGACAACTGCTGCTGGTGGTGGTGCCAAAGTACGCTTGCTTGCTGCAGCTCTAGTGCCATCTGCCCTGTCTGCTGTTTTGCGTGCTGCTGTTGTGCGTGCTGCTTCGGCGGCCGTAGGTGCTTCAAAAGATTCACCTGAACTACACCAAGCGCTGCGGGACCACAGAGAAGCGATGGCTTCGGGCGTGACTGGTTCTGCGTCTGGTGCAGCTGCACTGTCTAGTGCAATAGGAGATGCCAGTCCTGTTTCAGGCGGAGGCGAAGAGTAAGCGCTAAGGGAGGGGGACGATGCCCCCCGCATAAGCGGCATGCTACCCCTGGGACTTCCAAAGGCGTCCCTATCGTCTTGACTGGGGCTGCTGTCACTGGATTGCATAAGAGATGTCCTTGACTGTCTCGGCCTGCAGGCTAGGCTGCCCCTCCGCAACAGTGCTGCCGTTGCTACTGGCGCTGCTGCAGCTTCAGATTTACGTCCTCCGTCTCTGTCTAGAACCGACTCGTCTGAGTCGGTCTGCCGCTGCAGCAGCTGCGCCACGTCGCTATCTGGGGCCCTTCGCGCGAACTCCTCGAGCCACTGGTGGAGCTGCCGCTGCATCTCACGCGTTCGGGCTCCGCCAGCTCCAGCAACAGCACCAGAGACCGCCGCCAGTCCTGCTCCCCTGTGATGCTGCGCTCCTGCCGGCTTTGAATGCCCTTCCCGGAGGTGCATCGACCCTTGGGATACAAGGCCACCCGTCCAATCTCCAGCTGCAGCAGAGCTTCCATCGGCTGCATCTTCCCTGTTCTCGGATGCGCCCGTAGCTGCCGCTGCATCGGCTTGGTGCGCCTTGTTGAACAGCTCCCATGAAAAAGAAGCGTAGATGAAGGTAAGCGTAGGAATAAAGAAGTTCAGAAACAAACCAGTGGTCAACCCAAGCACGGAAGCGGGGTGTGCGAACAGGGGCTGGTACGCCAGCAACCAATAGAGCATCCAAGGGACCGTGGAGGCGGTGGTAAATGCTGATTTCTTGTCCAAACAGATCGCCATATTCAGCAAGTCGTACCTTGGGAGGCGAATAACACGCGAGCAGATACAATCGTCGAGTGAAAAATGGACTCATACATTTGGCAGTGCTGACTCTTTATCTGTCAATCATGTTATGTCAATTTTGTTCAGCGCCTATCTCTGTGTCTGCGTCTGCTAATCTATGTGTATTTCTGCTTCTCCCCTCCCCTCTGCCTCCGCACCTGGAGCCGATCTGGGACAGCACAATGTTGGGCAGCAAAGCCGCAACATGAAAGAGACAAACGAAAGTAGCAGCAAACAACGGGAGATGGCCTCCTGAGGTTCCCAGCATCAGCGAGGCCAACGCGTTGGAGGATTCCGCGGCGCCAACAAACGCGCTCGCGCAAAGAGAGCCAAATATGAAGAAAAAAGAGGCAGAAAACAGACTACTCAGCCAAACAGTGCCTGATATCTGACAAACAGAGGCACACACACCCTTGCGCCTTCCCTGTTATTTCACACGCTAGTGCGCTCAGTGATCGCAAGGTGCCACACAGCGGCCCTAACAAAAATGCAGTTCCCATTGGCTCCAGCATTAGCATTGACAAAGAGGCACGGACGCACACAGATTTATGAACACAGAAAACAAGGCGCAAACATACGTTTACGCTGAAAGCGACAAAACAAAGGAGCCGAGAGATATACGAAAAACTCAGGGCCAGCGCAACAAAGATAGACAGCCTGCGCAATGCATGATCCCTTAAGGTTTAACCAAGGCTCACAACGAAAAATGAACTCGAAAAACGAACAGAATGAGCCAATTAAATTGACTGCGCCTTACTGAAACTTCGTCCCTGACTTCATTTGCCCAAGATGGAAGTGAAGAGGAAAACCCGAAAGCGTCCACCATAGAAGGGATCGCCGTACGGGCAGCAAATCCGCCGAAAATCGAATGCAGAAATGGTAAAAGTGTACCTTTGCCTCCACCAGCTCCAGCTGCCGCTGTTGATGCGCTCGGTGTCGGTGCTGCAAGCGCAGCAGGGGCTGCTGTGGCTGCTGCTGCCGCTGCTGGAGGACTTCCATATATCATCGGTGCATTACTGTCAAGAGCTGCATTTGCGCTTGCTACTGCTGTTGTTAACGCTGCTGCTGCTGCTGCTGCCGGTGTGCCTGCCGCGCTTGTCTGAGATGCCCAATCCCACCCCGAGCCG